AGAATAGGTGTGTGAGTGTGTGTTGTGTGTGTGTGTGTGTGTGTGTGTGTGTGTGTGTGACCCTGGACCACAAAACCAGTCATAAGAAGTACGGGTATATTTGTTGCAATAGCCAACAATTCATTGTCTGTCATTCAATTCATTCATTCATTCTCAATTTCAAAAAATGGACTCTTATGACTGGTTTTGTGGTCCAGGGTCACATATATGCCCATACACACACACACACACACACACACACACACGCATATACATATATTCCTCTTGGCTTATATCGAAATCCTCCGACATTCTTCTTTACAAACTCTCGTTTTGTACTTCTAATAAGTGACCGTTGTTTTGTTTTGATCTCTCTGCTGCATTTCCGCATGCGTCACTTCTGAGCGGCGCATGCACAAAGCCGACCTCATACGTCATCCGCCCGGAACTGCTTCCGTTTACAACAGTGAGCGCAATCTAGATTAAAGTGATTATTACATTTTGAATACGGATATTTTTCTTACAGAAATGCATCGATTCGCTACGGGAGGACTTTGTTCACCACCCAAACTCATTTTTGGGTGAACTAACCCTTTAAGATGCAATAACCTCTATGTCCATCTGAGATTTTTCTTTTACATGAGGATGTTTATCAGGCTCCTATGACAATAACATTGGACATGTTAGAAAATAAGGCATTCAATAACTGACTAATAATCTTTTCATTGCCATTAAGGATAAATTAATGAACCTAATAATAGGAGTCTGATAAAAATGCTCATTTAAAAGAAAAAAATCTCAGAAAAATCTCAGACGAATTTAGAGAATTTGGCATCTGAAGTCTTAATATATATATATATATATATATATATATAGCCAACTTACCAAAAATATTGGTTATATAATTTATCTAAATGTGTGGGCTAATTTAAATAGCAGACAACAACTAAGGAAAAAACTCTCTCAGCCTTTGGCATCAAGTGTGTTGTATACCTGCCAACAATTCTGCTGAAGTACTAGGAAATAAAATTCCATATACTCATAGTGAAACCACTTGCAAGCCCCATTTACACAAAGTCAAACTATGGAATGAGAAACAATCGCATGCAAATAACACTATGCACAATGATGGGTTTGTGTAATAATCAAACTGTCAAGACAAGGCAGGGCCCACATTTTCTTTTGGCTAGACAGCCACCAAAACTGCACTTGACAAGTGTACTTGATTTATGCTGTCAGTTAGCACACAGAAAGCTTTTTTTTTTAAACACAAACAAGTTTTATAGGTGTAGAGATGCTTTATTGTGTGGTTAGCGCTGCAGAGTAAGGTACACTGCATTGAACTAACAAAGCACATTTAACACACAGGGCTAGCCGCTACGCTAACTAAGCAAGAATCTGTCATTTGGAACCCATTAGCTGATTTAACATCCTGCTGTGCTGAGGAATGTCGTATTTACCACCAAAATTGGCAATGCAAATGTTTTAAAACAAGTTACGTTCAACATAAAGCTGAATGTTTGTTTTTCAGATGAACTATCTGCCACTGAAGGCTAGCAAGATGGCTCTATTTAAACATTTAGCATTTTCTCACTATTTCTTATATGCTGCTCATTTCATGAGACCACTCAAATAAATATGAATAGGAGAAATCATAATGTTTAATATGGCTAAATGAAAGAGCCAATTGATTAGTTTGAGGCAGTTTGTTTACTCTGAATATGCATATGCATTAGCTGGACCAGCTGTTTTTTTTTTTAGATTTGCGTAAAATGTATAACATATATTATTGTAAAGTTAACATAGAAACAGTTTGGGCTCTTTGTATCTGTAACATAAAAAACAGTATTCCAATAGCTATATAATTTAAACCTGGAAATGAACAGAATTTTTAATTTTGAGAATTATTTTTTCTCACTTTTAATTCAAAATGCCATATACATATGTAAGGGATAATCAACGGCTAGCCGTGCGTTAAAGGATTTTAAATGCACGACGTGGAGGCAAAGAACCGCTCGACGCGAAGCGGAGTGCCTCCGCGAAGTGCATTTAAAATCCTTTAATGCACGGCTAGCCGTTGATTATCCCGCTTATTCCATGGTCATTTGCCAAGTTATAGACAAGTTAAAACTAGTATTGCTCTTTGCAGCACAATATTTGACCGAATGGGTAAAAATGACAGTTATTTTCATCAGTTAGGGCACGTTAGCGCTAGCATTCTACCCGCTTCAAATCATACACAGAGATGAAATAGTGCGGTAAGACCACATTTATTTGAATGAATTATAGCATGTATTTCAATGAATTATCGATCGATCGTTTGAGAGAGAGACAGAGAGAGATGACAGTAGTGTGTACCTGCGTGCTGCGTCTGCGCATGGTTGCTGGGGAATATAATGTAGCGATCTAGTATCTAGGCTATTTTATTAATGAAAATCACAGGGAAGAGTTGACAACAAGTTTGTGTGTGTGTGTGTGCAGCGCAATCAGCGATCTTTGACCTCTCTCTCTCTGTGTATGTGTGTGTGCGCAAGTGATGCGTGTTGGTTAGTGTGCATCAATTAAAGCAGCGCATTAATATAGAACGGTGATTAAACTGACTTAGAACTACCTGTGCATTAAACGGTTTTACTGCATACCTGCCAGCCAATCAGAATCCAGTATTCAGACAGACCATGGAATAAATACATATAACAGCCCAGGAATGCAATACATCTTGCTTCTTCTTATGCAGCTATGCAGGTTATCCAAAATCTAATATAAATGTGGAAATAAATAGATAATGGAAAATTATTTTGTACTTTTACCCACTTTTCATTCAAAATCCTATTAATTTGTACAAACTGTGTACTTTATTAGAAAATCCTAAATTTTAAGCAAAGCATTTTGACTAGTGGTCTGAGTTTTGGACCCCACTGTATAATACTTGTTTGCCTCTCATCTGATCGCACATATGCCAGCATGTGATTCAGGACTGCTGCTGTTTCCATTTATATTTTTTATTTCATCTCTCTCCAACCAATCCATTTGTCATTTTTTAAGTACCTGCTGCCTTCTCTTTGATCATCTTCACCATCTCACTCAAATATCTTCACCTATTCCTGCCATAATCCAGTTGTTCACACAGTGGCTTCTGGGATTTGTCCTGTCTCCATTTCCCAGACTCTAAACAAGTGACACACACACACACACACACACACACACACACACACACACACACACACGTTACACACGTATTCAGTAGTCATGGAAACCCTGTCCTAGAAGCACAGGCATTATTAACTGAGAGTGGGTGTTTGAGGAAAGAGAAAGTCTGAGTTTAGTTACTGTTATAATACAGTGCTCTTTTTCTGAACAAAAATAGATGAATGCATAAATACAGTACAGTGTTTTATTACATAACACACTATATGTTAAACCGCTGAATACTGATAGTACTTTCAGTTCTTCCATTAAACCAAAAAAAAAAAAAGTATATACTTTTGGCATACAAAACATAGGCAATGCAAGATTATATCCAGTACTAACACTGTGACTAGTCAAAGTTACACCACATATAGAGCTTGATTAATTGGTAAAAGTTAGTCATCTGAACAACTTTAAATTAAAAGTGCACTTTAGGTGCTAAATTTTTAAATAACAAGAGAAGACATCACAAATGTAAAGATCACAGCACAACCACTGGTCTCCATGTGTTTGTATGAGCAATATTACTCCATTGGACCTGTGCAGTGGAATAAGCTATATGACATCCTTAATTTCCTGTTCCTGTTTTTCAAGCTCATTTAATTCGGTGATCCAATAGAACCAGTAATAATTGGTACTTCAAAACAGGATGCTATTTAAAGCTAACCCACAGTTTACCTGATTAGATTGACAATACAGCATTTTTACTGATTGATTACATAAGCATTCTGACAGAAAAAGAGTAAACTACAAGCAGTTTTCAAATAAACATTTATATATTTGTTGTATAATTAATTGTCAAAGGCAACTCAAGTGTGTTGCTGATTCTGGACTCAGGGTCAAATTGTAACAGATGGGAACATGCTTGGTATTTAGAATGGATTTATTCTTTGACCTTTAGATGTTAACTCAGAGGAACACACTGTGAGGTGATTTAAGACTTTGGTAGTAAAATGAAGCATGATTTAAACATTCCCTACAGTTTAAGAGCAAATGCTGCACTTTATTTTGTCCATATTATAATCAGCAGAAAGGTCAAACAAAATGGTCAGACACAGCATAAAAAAATCTATTCAATCTGACTTTGTAACAAAATAAGTTGCTGTGTTTTCAAGCTTTTAGATTGTTTTAGCTAAATAAACTTTGGTCCACTTTAAAATATTAAAGAAATGTAAAATGTGAGCATTTGTGCACTCTTTTGAAAGAAATTAAGTAGGTTACAAATGATTTCAATTTCAAATAAATGCTGCATTTTTTTTCTAATATTCATTTTGATGACTTTTGTTTAAAGAATCCTGAAAAAAAAAAACTTATTACAGTTCCCACAAAAATGTTAAGCATTAATATTAAACTTCAGCGTTGCCATCACATAAATAAATACTTTTGAAAATATATTGAAATAGAAAACAGTTACTATAAATTGTAATATTTCACAATATTACTGCTTTTAATGTATTTTGATCAAATAAATGCAGCCTTTGTGAGCATAAGAACCCCAAACCTTTAAATGGTAGTATGCAAAAAAACCTTTATGAATCTTTCTGAGAACTGTTTTAAATTAACCTAAGCACATAGGATTGAAAGCGCATCATTTAAATGAAATTAATATACTGACATATTCAATAAAGTCCTGAATTACTGACTTAATAAATGTGTGTTGAATCAATAGATGCCATTACATAAAAGGTTATGATCTCATATGAAATGCACATTTGAAACATGCGTCCATAAACATCTACACAACCTGACAAAGAGTACATAATGTCATCAATTCAGGGTTTTTAAACTCTGAACTCCCACAGGTCTAAGCTTCTTTCCATTCCTTATACTTTTCCGTTGCTGACCTCTTAACCGCTGTCATTTCAGAAGATCTGAGAAGCTGGCCTCAAATTAATCAAAGATCCAATTGTACAAACAAAAGCTCAGTGGTGAACAGAGAAGCAGAGCAGTCTCCCATCAACACCTTTGGCTTGATCATGCATATATTATCACAAAAAAGTCACATCATCCTGCGACTGCACCCAACGCCAGTGTGCGTCATACTCCAGTTGAACTTTGCCGTTCATTTTGCAGCTCTCCAACTCAACTTTGCCATTCTTGTAGGGTTTCATTTTAGGGCTCAGATTCTTCCCCAGCTTCTCAGCGAGACAAGCCCTGGGCGAATCTGGTCTGACCATTTGCTTCACTGCTTTGTCCAGGATTCCATTTGTCTTGCTGGGCTGGTACGGTCTCGATGTATCAGACGGTGCTTTATTCCAAACCTGAGCTTCTTCTTTAGGGGCATCGGACTTGACTTGTGGAGATCGGGTTCCAGATCCAGTGGAACTTCCCACTCCTCCTCCAGTACCTCTGGAGACATCTGTCCCCATGGGGGTGGCACAGAGTATTGAATCAGTCCCACTAGAGGGGCAGTACTCATCCAGGTCATCAGCTAATGTGTCCAGATAGCTGCCAATGGAAATGTTGTCCAGCTTGTCATGGGGGTCCTGCAGACTGCTCCAGCTGCCCCTCCATGAGGTGTCGGGACCCTCCCCTAAGCTGAACTGGCTGCTGGTCAGGCTGCTGCAGCGAGTATTGAATCAGTCCCACTAGAGGGGCAGTACTCATCCAGGTCATCAGCTAATGTGTCCAGATAGCTGCCAATGGAAATGTTGTCCAGCTTGTCATGGGGGTCCTGCAGCCTGCTCCAGCTGCCCCTCCAGGAGGTGTCGGGACCCTCGCCTAAGCTGTACTGGCTGCTGGTCAGGCTGCTGCAGCGGCTGGTGAGCGCACCACGCTCTTCCAGGAGCCATTTCACTGCCTCGATGCCCTCGTGAAGTGCTAGCAACTGGTTCAAGATCTTGACATCTGCTGCTCGTAGATAAGCCTTGGCAGAGGAAATACACATGGACATCAAGACATTTTCAACAATCATAACTTAAACAAAAGTACACACTACACTTTTTAAAATAAAGGTTCTTCATTGGAATCTATAGGGGCTTTTGCACCCAAGGAACCTTTTTATAGTTCCTAGAACTATTTGCAGAAGTATCCACTTTTTGGCGTGTCCGCACCACAAGAACTAGGAATGTATTTAGTTCTAGGAACTTTGTTTGTTCGTTGTTCTATAGGAACTATCAGTGATGTAAGTCTACACTGATTGGCCAAACGCATACGAAACACCATACGAAAAAGCCATGTAAAAATATTTGCTCTACGAACATGGAAAACAGCGATAACGACATTAAGCTACCTGTTGTCTGCAGTGTTGTGTTCTTTTCTCAGCCTTAATGATATGTAACACTGCAAGTTGTCATAGATTAAGTCAGATTTTCATGCTCTTTCAATCGCGTAAATTGTGCGTTTACATTCCGCCTCCGTTATCACGAAACCCACGACACACAACAAAAACAGCTCCGATCACAGCATCCTCCATTCACCGGTTGTTGACGTTTGTAAATGCCGCGAATAAAGACATCACTTCTGGCCGCTTCAGAGTTCCTGCTGCTGGTGCAAATGCAACCAGGAAAACAGCCTGAGTGGGCAATTGTTTCTCTAGGAACCACCATGCTGACTAGTTCCTAGAACGGAGTTCCTAGAACTACACGGTGTGAAAGGCCCTTATGGTTCCATGAAGAACCTTTAACATGGTTCTTTGAAGAACTGTTCACTGAAAGGATCTTTGTGGAAACCAAAATGGTTCTTCTATTGCATCGCTATGAAAACCCTCTTTTGGAACTTTAATTCTTAAAACTGTATAAAGGAATAGTACACCCAAAAATTTACATTTTTGTCATTTCATGCATATTTGCATATATTGAAATGTGCTCAATTTCAATATTCAAATAATGTGAATAAGATTTGATTTGCTAGAGCAAATTAGTTCTTTGGTTTGTTCCTTACACAAAGCTATTGAATGTCTCTAAAAGACTTGGAATATAGCACATTGTTGTATGGTCCACTTTATGGTGTTTTTTTGTCATTTAGGAAGTGTGACAACTTTAATAAATGCTCTAAATGCATTCTGATTAGTGCTGATTTTTGTATTAAGTCTGAGGCTCACAAGCATGACTGGAGTCCTGTGCTGACTGCAGAGCCGGAGGTCCATTACTCTAAATGCTGTTGAGATTTATAGATCTTCCTGACAATATCTATTTCTGTCAAGCACTCTTCTCTTCCTGTTTCCCACAGCAAATGGGCCAAGCAATTTTCATCTGACACATCTAAACTTGATGTCTAAATAAAAGTAAAACCTTAGCAAAAGAATGAAAGGACTTCTAAGGTCCTATAATCTGCTTGAAATAAAAATGAAATCAAACAAAGTAAATGAAGTATCCATCCACCTAAATGTATATACAGTATATATCTACATATATATATACATAGACAGACAGACAGACAGACAGACGTTGTTATACATATGCTCATCATCATTCACCTCACTAGCTTCCTCTTGGACTTCCTGGGGCAAATCAATAGAGAGTAAAAATGGATGCTATTGATTCTTTAGTTGGTCTTTTGAATTAAAGCAATATGTATTAGATCCTTCCTTCATCATTAGATCCTGCTTTTGGAATGTATTCTCATTTTATGAGGTATATCTGTCAAACATTTCCTTTAGAAGTATATTGTGAAGCTTCCTTTGGCAGCAGAGAAACATTTTTGTCAGTAAGTTAGACATTTACCACATGCAATATGATATACAAAGTCCTGAACTCTTCTGACTGACTGAACGGCTCTCTAGTCTAGCCCATAAAACAGTGCTCATCAAATAGTCAGTGCTTCCTATGAAAGCCACAGTGCTTTGGCTCCCACAATCCCTGACGGATACTGCCCTGTCTGCACCCCATCATCTACGGTCACACAGCGATTCTTAAAGGAACAGTTCACCCAAAAAGGAAAATTCTGTCATCATTTACTTACCCTCAAGTCGTTTCCGAACCCAAATTACTTACTTCTGTGGAACACATTGGAAACTGACAGTCTCAGTCACCATTAATTTTCACGGCATCTTTTTTCCATACAGTGAAAGTAAATGATGACTGAGGCTGATTCTGACTTCTGTGTTCCACAAAACAAAAAAGAAACTCACACTGGTTTAGAACAACATGATGGTGGAAAATTATATTTAATTAACCTTCTGACACATATTGTGACCATTTTTGATTAAAAGGAAGATGTTTAAATGTGGATAATGTGCAAAATGCCAATAGATTCAGGACCAGCTTGAGACCAGGATGAGATAAATCAGTTTAAGTGCACTGAGCCAGCCACAAATGGACAGTATCCTATACATCCAGGCTTCTGTGTAATTTAAAGGCCATAGTGCACTGCTGACGTCAACCACACTAATTACAGTACAAAAAACCAAAAGAGAACATTTCGGCAAAAGAGAGCATGGGATACAAAAAGAACAAATGAGGCAGTGAGGGGGGAGGGGAAATAAAGCTGAATTTAGAAGGCAAAGACAAACAAGCATTTTTACAGCAAATAGGGAAAGATGTAAATACATAAGCTAAAAGACGAGAGAGATTGAGAGAACAGATTGTAACAACTCTGCTCTGGTGTGGGTTGGGTTCATGTCGGCTCCCCAGTCTGAGTTGCTGAGACTAATGAACACACTCGTAAATATTCTCCCTGTCTCAGCACTGATGTGGTGAGCGCTGATCTGACTGTGCCCAACTCCAATCTGTCTGCATCTAGTATATACGCATTAGGACCCGGATGAATTAAACATACACTTCTGTTCAAAAGTTTGGAGTCGGGCTGGGATTCTTTTAATGTTTTCGTTTCATATGTTCACCTAGGCTGTATTTATTTGACCAAAAATACAGTAAAATACTGTGAAAGATTATTACAATTTAAAATAACTGTTTTCTTATTTTAAAATGCATTCATGTGGTGGCAAAGCTGAATTTTCAGCAGCCATTACTCCAATCTTCAGTGTCACATGATCTTTCAGAAATCTTTCTAATTTGCTGATGTGGTGCTGAAGAAACAAGAAATTTAAAAACAGATGTGTTAATATTTTTTTGTGGAAACCTTGAAAACTTTTCTGGATTCTTTGAATATAAAGTTCAAAACAGCAACAATTTTGTAACACTGCACATGTATTAATGGCACTTTTGATTAATTTAATGCATCCTTGCTGAATAAATTAATTTATTAAAAAACTGTGAACAGTTGTGTACAGTGTCGGGTACCTTTAGATATCAGTTCAAATTCTAAGTTTAACTTAAATACCTCTGCTGCCTTGAGGCTGTAGTATTTTGTTTGTCCAAATAAGTTCTAGTGACAACAATGTTAAAGGTACAGTTTACTTGATCTAAATTGTCATTATGCCATCCCAAACCCATGTGACTTTTTTCATTTTTTTCATGTAACACGAAAGGAGAAATTCTAAAATACGTACTGGTTGCTTATTGACAACTGACTGGAGCTTCCAAGCTTTGAAAAGGACACAAAAGCACTTTAAAATTATTACACATACACAAGTTGTCCAATATCTTTGAAACCACAGCTTTGATAGCTCAGACCATTATTGTCATTGTTCACTGACAATATTCCCTTCCAGGGATCTGGACAGGATCATTAAGTCAGTGAGTTGAACTCGAAAATTGGATCAGTCCAATTTGTGAACAAATAATTCAGACCGTTTGTATGAACTGAATCAGCCAATCCTTTTTAAAGCTTGAAACCTCCAGTCCCCATTCATAGTAATTGCACAGATTCTTCTAAATGTACCCCGGTTTTCCACAAATAAAGAAAGCCATATGGGCTTGGAGCGACATGACTGTGAGTAAATAATGACTGAATTATCAGACATATCTGGGTGAACTATTTCTTAAATAGGCCTCATAAAATGCTAAATAAATGAAAACAATATCATTGTAACCCCATGCAATACAGTGCAGTGTTGCTGCAATAATAGTATGTAGCTTCCATTCTTCCACACGAGCCACACAGTGACCCACAGACTCTCCTTAGGGAGAACATTCCACAGTGTCTGAGGCTCACACTGGAGATTCTCAAAGCCAGAAGAATTCCATTTTCACACTCCTTAAAACCCATAGCTTATACGTCCTGTGTTCTAATCCCTGGAATTCTGGAGAGCTCATTTTCCATGCTGTGGTGTCCTGCTCTGTTAAGTATCACACCACGTAGCTCTGTGTGCGTGTTAAAATGAATAGGCCTATATTATAACTCAGTGCTGGATTTACAATAGGCACAGCTATATTATAACATTAGTTATAACAGTTGATTGTGATGAGGAGGGTTTTAAGCATACACTCAGGTATGTGAAGAATGTTGACGTTGCCATTTTTGGCCATTCCATTGTGAAATACTGTAATAAGTAAAGCTGCTGCATAAAAAAAAAAAAAATAGACAAACTACCAGTTATCTCTAACAAATAAGTTAAAGTAATAGTTCACCCAAAAACTATGTTGAATATGTTCAAGTACACACAAATTGTGTGTATTCATATACTTGCCGTATCACACATCTATCATATGGATAGTCATAGTAATATGGACTATGATTGTGGTGCTCATTTCACAGTCAGGGTTAGAAATTAAAAGTGCAGGGGACAAAACTGCACCAGATATTCATGTGTTATTAGTGTTTTTTTTATTATATTCTATTCTAGTTATGCACCTCTGTAGAGACTATAGTGTCCTGTAGTTGTCAGATACTAAGCTACAGTAAGTGTTTTGGATGATTAAAAACGTCAGTTGTATAAACAGTAAATGTGAAGAAAACACGGTCACAACTGGATAGAGAGGCAGTCAATGGAAGATTGATTCCGAGCTTCATTATTGCCATAAACTGAAGGTAGGTTCAACAACGGAATGTTCAAACATAAAAAGGCAAAAGGCTCAAACTGAG